TAGACGCAGCCATTCCATTCCTTGCAGCCATTCCTCCAATCTAAAGTAGCTTGCAAAAAGAAGGCAACACCCAGGTAGCACTGTAAACTGGGCTGCCTCGTTATATTTTGCACCAAACGAAATGTTTCCTAGTGTTTTCGATGCTGTAGAATGCGATACGCAGGGTCCCAAGCCGCGAAAATGACGTTTAGTAGCTTAAATATCGAATTTAAAATAGCTCCAAAAATCTACTTTTTCTAAAGTCATTTTTCCGTTTCAAAGACATCACCATCGTGTTCATCATGGTCGATTTATCCCAGTCAATGTCGTTTGTGATGGGATTTGACTTGGCTCAGCCGGGAAGCCGAGTTTTCCTTGCGCCAAACGGGTCAAGAAGTGGGTTCGTCTGGGGGAAGGTATCGCAGGCGCACCCATCAGGCCGAATACGAACCCTATTAAGAGCAGCTTCCTAGCCGACTGAAGATGTTCTAAGAAACCAGAAACATTGACATTGGGTAAATGGATCATGCTAAACACGATGGTGATGTTTTTGAAACGGAAAAATGTCTTTAAAAAGTCGATTTTTGGAGCTATTTTAAATTCGATATTTAAGCTACTAAACGTCATTTTCACGGCTTGGAACCCTGCGCATCGAATACTACAGCATCGAAAACACTAGGAAACATTCCATTTGGTGCAAAATATAACGAGGCAGCCCAGTTACAAGAGCTACCTGGGTGTTGCCTTCTTTTTGCACGCTACTGTAGCCCAACAGGTGCTCCCCATCATTTTGGTCGAAATATTCATCGTTTAAGATTTTAGAAATACTAAAAACGATTCTGTTTCAGTTAGACTGGGATTCTGGAAGGTTTCAAGCATTTTGAAGCGCTAAAACTCAGCCGAAGTACTCAAAATACGACAATGATTGAGCCTGCTGTCCGATACAAGTCCCTTCAGGATTTCCGACCATCTCGCCGAAAATCTAATTTTCTATACTGATTTTTTCGGGTAACTCCGGCTATCTTTCTAGTCCTAAAAAGGTTGAGAAAATGGCTTGCTATCCGCTGATGCCGAAAAACGAGTGGTGGTCGTTCGGTGCTTGTTACACCACTAGACCAAAGCGGAAAATACCCAAAAAAATTAGCATAGAACATTAGATTTTCGGCGAGCTGGTTTTCGGCTAGTGGCTTTCGCGAAATGAAGATTACCCACCGCCCACGTTGGGGTAATTGAAAAATAGGATCCTTTAAATTATATAAGCGCAAATACGGTATATTTAAAAAAATAGATACTTGATCAAGCGGCGCGGACTGTTCCCTGGCCAGTGTGCCTCGTTGAGAATACATGCATTGGCGGTGGCACCTCATGACGCTGATCAGGTATCGATTCTCATAGAATCCTAAATCGGCATTCCGTCATTGAGGTTCTGCGTTTCAGGGGCATTTTTTTAACCGAACGAATCACATATGCCCGAATTGCATCCCATCAAAATTACGACTCATCGAAATTACAACCCCTCGAAATACCGATCTTTGTCTACCAAATTTTTTTCAGTCCAACCCTAATTTTTTTTATAAATAGCGGATGGGTTTCTAAATGTTTTTTTCGGCGTCCGGTCACTACCCCGAAAAGCCACTACCCCGAAAGTCACTACCCCGAACAATGATAGCATTGTTTTTCCCGGAAAGATCCAGTTTTAATGCGGTTTTCCTATGAAAATCATGCAAATTATTTCGGGGTAGTGACTTTTCGGGGTAGTGACTTTTCGGGGTAGTGACTTTCGGGGTAGTGACTTTCGGGGTAGTGACTTTTCGGGGTAGTGACTTTCGGGGTAGTGACTTTACCCCTGTTTTTTCTAAGCATAAAAACTATACAAATTTTCGTTAAAAAGTTTAATTTAAGGTCGAGAAACTGATTTTTTTTTTCGGCCAATAATGAGTAAAATGGGACTGCGCAAAAATTGGTATTTTTTGCAAAATTCGATTAGCTGAAACTTCTATGGGTTGTAATTTAGATTAGTCGTAATTTCGATGGGTCGTAATTTCGATGGGATGTAATTCGATGGGATGCAATTCGATCAGATGTTATCCGTTTCAGCCCTCCCTTTTTCAGTTGATCAGCGAGCGCTACGAATTTAGCATTCGGTCGCGGATGGGCACGACAATATGTATGAGTAGCATCAGCAATCAGATCTTTCATGTTCTCGAGAAAAGGTTGCCAAATTTATGCCATTCGCCAAGAATAACGTTCATTTTTATTTTTTTCTGCGGTGCCTTGTATTCTAATTGATACGCATTTTTTTTGCTAGCATTCACTTGGACGCGGAAGAACCGGGCTACGATAAATACATGAGAGAGACACGCTACATTCGCCGTGAGCCATACAACGACAAGAAACCGATACGGTAAATGAAACCAGGAAACTGATCCTAGGGCTTACCCGTAAGCGGGCGGGGAGAGATAGAGGGCGAAATTTTGGACATTTCACCGAAAACCATTTGTCAAACTTTTACTCGAAAGTTGATTCCGTGGGATCAGCTTTCAACTAATACCTAAACCGTGAAAATAGAACACTTCTCAGGGCCGCTAGCCTGAGGGCGCTTCATAGTTAAAGGGCTCCCGACGGCATGTGTCGATCCCCCCCCATCAACAAATCAGCAAGTAGCCAAAAGGGCAGAGAGCGCGCCCAGGGGAGGGTCGCAGAGACATTTTCTTTCCAGCGCGTAACTGATTGACTATGCCGTCGGTATCCCTTTAAAGGTGCAATACTCTGATATCCATCCCCCCGATTGATTCGACCTTACCCGCGATAGGCGATGCGTCGGTTTTAGTGGCCGGGAAAGCGTTGTATTGGGTTGGACCGAAAGTACTTGTAATATTTTCTACTCTTTCATATTTTCTTTTCAGAAAACGAGTCAGAAATAAAATGTTTTTGCGATAGACGCATGCACTATCAATTGCTCTATTTGGTCCGGGGGTCGGAATCAAAAGGCGTTTCCTTTAGAATTTTTTCCGTTTGATTTACAATAAACTGGAACATCGCCTCGTTCCACCGTTCTCCAACACGTTCCGATTTACTTCTTTGCCTCTTTCCGCATTAAATTAGTTGCCAAAACGTATTATCATGATAGTATCTCATTCCTATGGTAACTTTATCGCTCTTCGGAAAGATGTCAGGGTCTAAAATTTGAGACCCCTCAGACAAAAAAACAAAAATAATAAAAATCGCTGGGGCTAAAAGCTTGTAATTTTTATCCAAGATACTATTGGAGTCAACAAATATATTGAAAAAGAAACAACCTTGGCGGTGCACAAAACCTTTAGAGAGGAACTTCCGAAGTTCGATTACAAGGACTTTCGGTCCAACCTAATATAATCCATCGCATAGGCTTCCCGAGCATGCACGTCGCACGCTGCGAGTTGGCCGAACGTATAGGGGACTCCTAGCCGTCCCTTGTCCCTCCCTATAATGACATCTTACAGGCAATTCCGGGTTGAATGGCGAAAGTTCTGGTTGCCGCTTTATCGCCTAATCAGCCACATCTCTTCGACACGCCGACTGACCCTTGAAATCAAGGATTTGCGCCATTCACTGAACGTAGGCTGCATTACCGGGCTGAACTTTTATTATTGCCAAATTGCTCTACCGGTGCCTCCATGATAGCGGGGGAGCAAATTTTTTGGCGGCGGTGCAAGAAATAATTTTTTTGCGATGGCGTTTTAGGGGTGAATTAATTAAAGTTAAACAATTTCCAATACCATTTTACAGTGAGTTTATCCAACAAGAAACACTAATACATATAGATTTGAGGTCGACAAGCGCGAATTTGAGAGGAGCCAGTGCTTGGCCGTTAGTTTCTTGCGATTTAAGCTATCTTGATTTGGAAAGAACTATGCAAAGTCGATACTATAGTCGAATTTTTAAACGGGGGCAGCGTCGAAAAGCCGCGAAGCGGTTCTTCAACCGGAATTTTCCTGTATTTGATTTGATCAACACTTGCCTTTTTTTCAGGCGATCCCAGGCACGCCGTTCTCGACGATGCAACATCATGATTTGCGCGTGGGTTTACTCGTCAATAATGATCTTGCTGTGTTTGCCTAGTGCATACCAAGTCGAGATACTGTTCTGTCCGCGGGGGGCTGTCTGGTCTATTCCATCCTAGTAAAAATTTAACGTTTTGTAGTGCATTTTTATAGTGTCATTAGCCATTTTTAAATATCAAAAAGTGCTAAAAACATTTAAAAAATTGAAAAAATTGAAATTTTTGCCCCTGTGTTCGTCGTTTCTCATAAATTTTTGACCCAAAATCAAAATTTCCGTAATTCTCCGAAATTTTTTATGAATTTTTTCTGCTTAACAACGGAGTTAAAAGCTATATAAATGGTCTATTTTAATTACGGACGATAGGCGAGAGTGGGGCTCCCCCCGCCCGCTAACAGAACAGAACCAAAATCGATTAAAGGGCACGTTCAGGGACGTTTTTTTGGAAAAAAGCAAAGATTTTTGCCGCGGCCGGGGTCGAACCCGGGCGCTCCCTTCGGGAGGCGCGGATGCATACCAGTCAGCCACAGCTACAGCCTGGTAAGGGGATGAGGGGCGCCCCACGCCGCAAAGGAGGGAAATTGCCTGCCACGCCACGGGCAGGCAGTGCGGGCGGTCCCTACGTCCATAGGGTGTATACGTTGGATCGAGTATCCTCCCTGAACGTGCGCTTGAACCTAACAAACGCCAACACTAAAAACGTTCAAAACATAATAACATAAGCATTCACCACAATGAATTCCAGAGGCGTTTCACAGTTGGCTGCCGCCAGAAGCGACGTCCGATCCAGGTCTGTGCCCCAATTTTGGGCATTTCCCCAAAAAGCCAATGCGTCACGGGCGTCACGTGATCCGGGGGGGTTACACTGGAACCACTGTCACATTTTCTAGCTATGTGCTGCGCTGAAATCGCTGCGCCACATCGATAAGTTTATTTTGGCTTCGATTGATCGAGCCCTTCTCCCGAACGTGCAACGATTGATGGGATGTCGGCCTGCTTGTCTTGATCTACAAAGCTCAAACGTTCGTTTTGACATATTTTTAAGCTGTCGCTAAAATTGATTGCTTTCCATCAATTATTATGGCACGGCGGGGGATATGAAAGAGGGGTCCGTATCAATAAGCCAGGGAAATCCAAGCTTTCCTAGTTTGTCAATCCCGGTGGATATCCTATCCTACTATATATAAAAAAGTAGTGTCTGTGTGTGTGTCTGTGTGCATTTGCATGCAACTTCCGTCAGGTTGTTCCAGTAGTATCTCAATAAGGGGAGTAGTTAAGCGCATGTTTGATACGTCATTAGGTGCGTAATGGCCTGGGGATGACTGCACACCAATAAAATTTTCAAAAATGAGCTGTTTTCGACGTTAAAATTAAGTTTTTGCTGAAAAATGGGCCACCCTCTTTGTTAGGAAATAATTAGCATATGCCGGAAGTTGCGGTAGCCTATATAAGGGAAGAGAGGGAGCGTTTCTGATTTTTTGTCATCGAAAATCGTAAGAATTATGCAAAGTGAAGTATATCATCGGATCAGACGGGGCCAGGGTTGAAAAATCGCGAAGCGGCTTTTCAACCCTGGTGTCACTTAACAAGGGAACCACCTAAGGTCGAGGTGGCGTTTCGTCATGGGATCCAGCTTATTTTGTGCAGAATTTTTCGCTGATTCCGAATCCGCTGCTTATTTTTGCCAAATAGCCCGTTTTAAAAAGTTATAGCGCTTCAAAGCTCCGTTTTTTCCCAAATTTGCAACTTCAAAGCCGTTTATTTTGCGTTTCCCGGCTGATTTCTCGAAAACAAATATCGCCATCGTAGTCAAAAAAAAATAGCTGAGATGACTTAGCTCAAAATCGTTGAAAAACCGAAAAAATCGACGATACTTGGCATAGAATCTGGTTTTTTGCATTGGATCTGGTGAAAAACAGCCTATTTCTCATCCCCGTAGGCGATCGTCGATAGCCAGTAGCGTACTAATAAAATATACCATTCGAATCAGAAACAAAATTCTCTAAAGATAGGCTATTGAAAATGGATTGGCGTATTAAAACAAAAAAGTTGGGCATCGTGACAGATGACCGCCCGCGGGCTCAAATATGATCTTAACATCGCCGTAACTTTTTAAATCGGGCTATTTGGCAAAAATTAAAAGCTCGCGGAACCAGCGAAAAATTCTGCACAAAATAGGCTGGGTCCCATAACGAAACGCCACCTCGACCTTAGGTAGTTCCCTTGTAAGTTCAATACCAGTACTTGAGCCCCAAAACGTTGTTGTACTTGACATGTCGCTACGATATAACGTCTCACTTATATGCAAATTTCTAATGTCCGTGATCCGTGATCCGTCCGCCCGGTACACGACGGACACCATCCCGAAAAGACACGATCCGGAAAGACACCATCCCGAAAAGGCATAAATCCCGGAAAGACACCATCCCGAAAAGACATGATCCCGAAAGGACACCATCGCGAAAAATGCAATAACCTTCCGAACGTAGAAAAAACGTACAATTTTCTATGCAAATGTGCTTTTCACATGCAGATGAAAGGGGGTTGCTCATTTGCATAGGCAAATAGATAGTTTTCTAATCCTTGCACTTCCTACGTCCGGCGAGACGAGGAAAGACGTCCGGCCAATCATTGCACTTTTCCGTATGGTGTCTTTTCGGGATGGTGTCTTTCGGGATCGTGACTTTTCGGGATGGTGTCCATAATTCGTCCGCCCGCCCCGTTGCGCCGATTTTTTTATAAACGGTTGAACGTAGGGGGAATAGCAAGTATCAAATTGATAGGGGAATCATTGAAATGTCACCAGTAACAGCTTTCAGTATGAATATCCTATTATGCATAATACAAAGGCTCGAGCGTGCGTTTAGCATAGAAGGCTCGTGCGTGCGTTTTTCGACAAAACCTAAGTTTTAATAGCAAAAACAGCACTTTTTCAAAAATCTGAAATGTCGGCAGTCAATCTATAAGCCAATACGCACCTAATGACAAAATTCCCATGCCTTAAACATCTGTCGGGCCCCTTATGAATTTATTTTCCGAAAATTTTTTTGCCTGCGGCGCTTTTCTTGGCTGTTTTCAACACCGGTTTTAGCGCTATAAACCCCCGGTTGCCAAAATTTACAACCAATTGCAAATTTTGGTCATTTTAGCGAAACCTTTTTGGCACCCCCCCCCTGCCGCGAGATTCCGGGTTTGTCACTGCCCTGCTGCTGACAAAGCCCAGGCAAGGTATAAAATTCCGGCAATTTTGAAAAAAGAGTTCGAATTCGAAAATTTCGGCCGATTAAAAACATTACGCATCCTTTTATTACCATCTCACCCTTGTAATAAACAAGGTAGGGAGGTTAGAGTAGAGGAAATATGGTATCTCATTGTGTATTTGTCGGCTTTTCCAGGATCCCTTCGGACTGCTGAGCAGCAATTTCGGCACCGCTGAGGTATGATACGCGGTTTCTCCAAAACTTGACTCCAAAAAGCCGGACTTCTTTTTAAGGACTACCGTCAGATCATGAAGGGAATACGGTACTTTTGCGCTCAATGGCCAACCCGCGCTTTCCGCTGGAGTAAAGAAAATAATTGGAATAAAGAAGCCGATTTGGGTTTTTATGTAAGCCATTCAACTTTATTATTATTGTCTAGGCAGCCAGCAGATTGTGGGCCCCGAAAACAACTTAATTACCGGAAAATCAGTCGCAGTTTTGATTGCAAAAAAATTATTCCTCCGATGATTTATAGGAATTGCTGGAGCACCGTTCGTTGCTGGAAGACGGCGTGCTACATACGTTTCTTGCAAGATCGCTGTCGCCGGCAGGATTCGCAAACATTTCACGACGATTCGAGGTTGTAGGGAATAAGACCGTGAAGTCCAGTAAACCACCCAGTCAAAACCAGGGTTGAAAAAGCCGCTTCGCGACTTTTCAACCCGGGCCGTCTGGAGTTGGGCCGTCTGACCCCTTAAAATGCTTGACTATGCCTAATATACGGCTACTTCCGATCATTTTTGCTTGCAGAAACGGAGGCAAATTAGATCGTATGCCACCCCGATCAATCGGAAAATTTTACAAAATGGCTTGTAAAATAGCGCGTTCCAATAAAACATAGCTATGATTACGATCCGATATTTCTGCGTCGGGTTAGAGGGAATGTTTTTATTGGGACACCCTGTATAGTAGGATACGTATATTTCATGGAGCATGGAAAATATTTTGACAATTCTCGCTTTGAATTCGCTGCATTTAGTCGGACTGGTTCGGGCGGATTCGACCACTTGACCCGGTGGAGAATCAATCAGCTGTTACCCGCATCCGCAATACATATGATGGCTACGTGAGTCGCACGCTCCCTCTCCCCTTCCCGTTTTCACTCCCTCCCTCGCTCTCTCTCTCTCTCTCTCTCTCTCTCTCTCTCATTTTCACTCTCTCTCTCTCTATCTCTCTCCCTCTCTCTCTCTATACCGATCTCTGCTAGCTGCCGCCTGCAGCACTTGCGGATTTCTTGCTTCTATTGCCAGCCAGGAGGTACCTTTAAGGTAGAAGTCCAAAAACGAACTCTTTCGTCGACTAGCTCTGGACAGCTATGCGAGATGCCAAACTGCGTCAATCAGATTAGCCGGCCCATCTGACTTAAAGGAAAATTGCAATACGCTTGTACGGAAGTTTCGCGGCGCGTGGTTTTCTAGACCTAGTCAACGGAAGGAGTCGACCTCCTCTCTCTTTCTCTCTCCCCTTCAGTTCTTTTAATTTATCTGGTACTCTTTAGTTTCCACGCAAAAATCTCCAGGCTCAAAAACGCTATTTCTATGCTGAGAAATATTTTCGGATCGATCACCCGCGAGGAGGTCAGTGCATTGTGGCAGGTCGTCAGTCTTGAATTCGTATCCCCCAATGTCCTTCTCTCCCGGCTAGCAGTGTGAGGAAGTGTGCCTGGCTCGGCTTCCCTTTAGTTCCGGACCGGCTGCCTGATGTCCCGGATCGGTTTCCGGGTCTCTCAAATTGATTTTCGGACGTTACCCGTGGTCGCTCTTGCGTGATTTCCGGTGGAACACTTTCCCCTGATCCGGAACATCGGGAAACTAATCCGGAAGTTCCGGAAACCAGTTCGGAAATCGATACGGAACAGATGGAATGATATCCGGAATATACGGAAACAGATCCGGATTATTCAGTAATGGATCCGGAATATCCGGTAACGATCTCGAAAAGCCGGAAAGGGACTCGGGCAATTTTTTCACATTACTCGCCAGCTTCAGTAAATAGTCATTTCTGACGCTCACAGTTTACCGTGCTCTCAACCAAAGCACCGAAACGCAGCTTTTCTATGTAGGCGTTACGGTGATGCTTCGAGCCCGGGGCGCCCTGGTCTTCCAAGAGCTGAGGTTCGACGAACGGATGGCGCGTGAAAAGCTGAGCCCGAAAACCTGCCCAAAAGAATTCAGGGTTGGTCTGCAATACCTTTTCGGAAGTGCCATTATTACATGCCAATGTCCACGTGTTTCTAGGTGCGCGTGCATCCAGTCTGGGCCTTCATGTTTGATGCGGAGTGAGCTGCTGCAAATGGTGGACTAAGTGCCGAATACATTTCTTTGTATGAATAAATAAAGGCTGCAATTGGTCGTTCTTTGTTCGCAGGGTAAATACCTAGATGTCCACGCCACGTCAAAAAGGCTCGAGATGGCTTCAGATGTCGTCGGCTCGTATTCTGCTTTTTGGCAGACCCAATCAGTCATAACAAGCCGCTATAATAACGTAGTTGGAATGAGTGAAAGGATTTTGAATGCTTCAACTTGACTTCTTTAAACTCAACGACGTCATCTCGGCCGTTTGCAGCGCTCTGCGAGTTTGGCAAGGCTCGAAGGAGAAAGAAAAACGGAATAAGTAGGGTTGTTATAAGAGTTGCCTCTTTGACGAATTCATTGATCAAAAATTTAGACGAGTTAATTCGACCCAACCACCATGCCACGGCGTTTCAGAGCGCGCACGGGAGGGGTGGTCGAGGCGTGGTGTAGTGGTCTAAGCCGGCGGTCCAGCCCCGAGACAGGGGGTGCGGATTCGATTCCCGAGGCCGCAAACCTCTGCGTTTTCTTTTTGCTTTTTGCTCCAAATGTTGATAAAGGAATTCCGTAACCCTATGAAACCTAAAAAAGCTGGCTAGAACTTTCTCTCCATGCCGAATAGGTCAGTAAAGATCGTAAGCTCATCGCACCCTCTTACAGGACCCATTCGCTAAATTTCTGCGCCAGGCTATTCTAAAAATAGGTGCAAACGATAGAGCAAGTTCTGCTCTTAGTTCCTAGTCTGCTAGTAGATTCTAAAACCGTCATAAACAAAAGTTATACCTAATTGAAAACTTGAGAAACCATTGAATTGGAATCGTCGCGTAAATTTTTAAAACCCCAAGTTGACCGAATATTGGGTAGTTCATGACAGATACTCTTCCAGAAAATGTAGTTGAGGCGTTTGAGCCAGTATTTAGCTGGATTTGAGCTCAGACGATAACTTGCACCTCATTTTTCAAATTTCAAACCATCAGAAGTCGCGTTTTCAACGCTCGATTTTGACAAAACCACTATGAAAAGATAGAGCAAAGTCTCTTCTATTTTTTGAGCGGTCGCTCAGATTAAGAAACTGCCCATTTAAAAAATTTACAGTGGCTTGAAAGCGCAGAAGGCGTGCCCCCCCTTTGGTTTAAGAACCAATTACGCGTCGATTGGAGCGTGCCGTAGCCTAGCCCCGTCTTCCCCTCTCGTGCGCGTTTTTCTTAAAGGATGAATCGCCGTGATGCGCCGTCGTGTATCCGTCTATGTCATTAATGCCGCCTGTCTCGTTGTGACCCCTAAAATGTGGCGCGCTTCGAACAGTATTCCCGCCTTTTCAGTATCAGCTGCTCTAATTCCATGATACTTCGATTGCTCGTTGATAAACGCGATAATTACGTCAGTCTTCTTGTTTTTCACTAGAATCTAAATCCATTGCTTTTTAATATAAAGCTGCGTGATGATTACGGCCTGTAATCCCCCTCGATCGCGAGAAGATGATTTAGCCCCCTAAAAGCTTTCGTCCTTCTTAAATATTCCTCGACTTCTCGCAATGCACTCGAATTTCTGGTACTTGTAGAAAATACCCCGTGATTTTGTTGGGGAATAGGTTTGACCCCGGAGATGTGGATGTTGCCTTCCCGATGCGAATCTCCTCGTTTCCAGGAAATGATGCCGGCGTTTGGGGAGCTGGGATGTAATGGCATGTACTTGGTGCTGAACAAAATGGACCCCGATGAGTTGGTCACGCTTATGAAGACCACCAGGCAATTCAGGTGCCTTTTAGCATATTTTGTTCACGATTGCTGCCGTGTTCATCTAAAGCGTTAAAAAGGGAAAAAGCTTGGAAAATGCAGCCAATTTTGCAAAAATGTTAGTAAATGTCATTAGAATTCGGAAATTTCCAGACATGGCAATCGGCCGGGCCGCGCGGCTTTTTCGGCCCCTAAAAATTAGAATGCGGCCGGGCCGCGCGGCTTGGCCGCACTTCCGGCGCGGCCGCGGCTTTTTTCCGTTTTGAGGCCGCCCGGCGGCCAAGCCGCGCGGCCTTTAAGGCCGCATCCAAATGAGTTTTGAGTACTTCCGGTACGTAAATCGAAGATGCAATGGGTGCTTAGCTTGCTAACGTGGGATATTTATGTTCGACCACCTTAATTTTCTCATTTCCATTGCCATTTCGCATGAAATTCGCGGATTTTTCGTATGTAAATGAGCCACTTCCGGTTTGCGGCTTGGCCGCAGCGGCCCGGCCGAGCCGCGATGAAATGCGGCTGGGCCGCAAAACCGCATTTCCGGAAGTAACTAATTACGGCGGCTCGTAGGGGGCCGCGTTTTTTATGGAAATTAGGCCGCCGGCCGGGCCGCGCGGCTCGGCCGATTGGAATTGCCATGTCTGGTAATTTCGCAATCCGGAGAGCACAGATCTCCTCAGCTCGTCGCGAGCTTTCGATAGATACCTAAATCGTAAAAATCGAACATCACTGCGAACCGCTGTATTTGGTTGTATTTGTACTTTGGGACACCCTGTATTCTGCAAAGCCCTCTTCGCGTGTATGCTTCTATTTTTTTTATTTTTTCCCTCGCTACCTAACGGCGGCCGTAATGCGGGACTGTTCAGGCGCGCTATCCTTAATTCCGAAGTCACCAGCCCAACCTCGAAAACCCAAAACTATCCCTTGAAACTACAGGAGCGTAGTGAAGCGCCGTGGACTGTTTCCTGGCCAGTGTGATGCATTGACGATACATGCAATGGCTCTGCCAATGGAGGTGGATGATCAAGTAAGTATATCCCTTGTTTTTCTGAAGGTAGAGTTCATGGTTCATTTTTATGTGTGTCTTTTCGTTTTGTGCTTATTGTGGGCTCTCGGTTGAACTGAGTCCAGCCTATGGGGTTCCATTTTTTGCCTCGCATATTTTTATAACCTCGCTTAATTTCAATATCAAATACGATTTGGACAACAATTAAGGCAGGGGGACATTAGAGGAGGGTGTTGACATTAGAGGAAATACGGTGTATTAAAGAGGCTGATTCCTGGCAAATAGCCGAAACCGCCGCATGTTCTCTAGCCCCTGCCTGGAGGGGGAAAATGCGTTTTTTTTAAAATCCTGACGCTATTTCTGGAAACCTCACCCAATTTTGACCATTCTAGTCGTTCTAATCATTAAAATTGGCTAAAGAATCACCGAGATCGAAAAGCATGGTGCCTTACAGGGCATTACGACATGTAATCGCCGCGCGCTCAAAAAATCATTTTCACCGCGAAAACATTTCGCTTTTTTCTCAAATATGTTGCATTTTTCACACCGAAAGCAATTTATGGTAGATTCCGTTTTCTGTTTTTTAGTTTTTTTTTGGTAAGACTCCAGATACCCGCCCAGCCGGCCCCCCTCGCCCCAACTTTAGTATATTGGCTCTCTGTTCATCTACAGGTGTGTTAAGTATACCAAAATGTTCGTCTTGCTGTGGCGAGTATTTTGCTATACTTTACACATCTGTAGATGAACAGGGAGCCGAGATACGGTACGTTGGGTCGGCTGGGCGGGGGGGTATCTGGAGTTTAGCCAGTTTTTTTAGTTTCGAACCCTTTAGTTTTTTGACCAGTGGGTTCAATCCTCGCACACGCAAATTTTGTTTTTCTAGCCCCTTTATGGAGGGGGGGGGGGCTGGGAATACGGTATGGCTTTCGTGCTCCTGCATTTTCAAACGGGTGCTGCGTTAATAGGCTGAATGAATACTGTGATCTTTGCGGGCAGCTGACAGTTACGAAGACACTTCATTTCATTCTTTTTAGCTGATCACCGAGCGATACGAGTTCAGCATTCGTACCCGGCAGGGCACGACAATATGTGTGAGCAGCATCAGCAATCAGATATTTCATGTTCTCGAGAAAAGGTCAGTGCTCCGTCTTAGTTCTCGACGATTCTCTGTTCAATTTCTTTCAACGCTTTAGACCCATGCGGTTTTTCATTAGCGGGGGGGGGGGGATTAGTTTGTTTTGTCGATAGCTTCTATTCGCTCCCGCGTCCTTGACAGGCCGTCGTAAATCTCGAAAATCAGCTTACCACTTGCATTTTTAAAGGGACCAGGAATTAAACATGAAGCCGGTTTTAACTTACAAATTAGCATAAATCGTCTCTGCTCCCTCTCGTTTCGGCCCACTCTCGACTAGAGATGTTATGCAGACCGACGCGACGTCGGGATAACATGCAAATTAGGATGAAAAGTACAAAACAAGTTCGATCGTTTTCTTTGCGCTTTGCATCCTAACTTTCATGTTATCCCGACTGCGCGCCGGTATGCGTAATATCTCTACTCTTTACCCCCTATTTTGCATTAGCATTTTCGGGATGGCAACCCGCCAATTGTAGATGAGCGCTGATCTAGGTGGCCTCTCGCGAGCCGCCCTTATCGCGTTAAAAGCGGCACTTTCAGCAGCTTAGTTATTCCACGAATCGTGGGAAAATTTGCATGCGACACGCCTGCGCCTCTCACCACGGCGCACTCTCTAGCCAGAAATGCATGCAAATTTTTCCGCGTTTCTTTGAAAAACGGCGCTGCTGAAAGTGCCCCTTTAAGAGTTGTTATTGTCTTTGTTATAACTATTTCAGATTACATTGTTGTGAGGCTATTTAGGCTTGCGTATTATTTTTGATGCTGCACGCAAAGCTGCTAAAACAAGCCGAAAAAATGGCGAAATTATCTAAAAACCCGGGACAATAAACTTCCACCTTACCCGCTGAATTATTTTTCTTATCGATAGTTATATCCGACCAGCGCTGACCCCCCCGCTCCGCGGGTGTTCAGCGCTGGCCCTCCTCCCCCACAATCTGAATTTGGAATTTGGATGCAAAATTTGGCTGAATTCCCGGTCGGTCGGGCGCACGGACATTAGAAATTTATATATAGTAGATACCACCTATGTCTTAGCATCCCGTCGGATGCCGCGGAACCGGGATACGATAGATACATGACAGAGGAGCATTATCTGGGGAGTGAGACATATATC